TCTGCAAACTACGTTTGTAACTTCGTTTTAAATGTTAGACTGTCAAAGTTACATAAAGAAACCGATGTGATTCTGCAATCTGCATTTGGGGTAAAATTGGGAGTTCATAACCCACTTCAATGAAATATGATATGTCAAGAGCTTTGTAATGTTGTGAACAAACAATAAAAAAATAAAAAAAAAAAAGAAAATCTGGGGAAGAAAAATGTCCTATGTTTTTTTCTTTTGGGCTTTTTCCATGTTTGAATTAATGGGGAGAATGTTGGAAATGGTGCATTAAGGCAGAAGAGGATTATCTGCTAAAATAAAGGATGTTGCTGGTTGTTTTAAGACAGGGGAAATACAATGGGATTAAATTCCAAAGAACTAGGCCACTAACCAGAGAAATATTAGAATGACAGAATGTTTCTGCCTCCTCAGATTAAGTTGTGGCTTGAGACAGGAAAATGCAAATTTTATTTACATATTTTTTATTCTTTTTATTAAATCTCTTCCCAATAGATGCTAAAAATGCTTTAAACAGGTTCAAGTATATTTGTTCAAGTTCTGAGTGGGGTAGGGACACAACGAAAGTCTCTAATCCCTTCTAGTAATAAGGGAGTGCCCTAATGCCAGGGGCAGTAGTAAGAATAGAGTGACATTTTCTCTACCATAAAAATCTTGAGTACAGGAGTTACCACCTCCTTTTTAATTATTCTCAGGTATCATATCCTAGAAGGAGGGAAAACAATGAAGCAAAAGGTGTTGAAAGGATCTGATGTCCAGTCTGATTTTGTGGCCTATGTGTATCCTTGAAGAAAGAAAGAAATTGAGGATTGAACCATGGAAAGGAAATTTGTATGTGCCCCACAACTCTTAGGAATATAAAAGATTTTAAAGTCAAGTACATGTTTTTGTATTTAAAAATTAAAAGGCAAACCAAGAGGGTTTTAAAAAATTATCTGAGAAAATTTTCATGTCACAGACAAGAAAACAATCGTTTCATTGTTGTATCAAATCACTCATATAAATTTTGTTACTACCAATTGGAAGTTATGTACATAGGAATGTTGGAAGTAAAAACAGCAACCTTTTTCCCATGCATCTTTAGAGCCCTTTTGAACATAGATGTTTAGGCCAACAAAGGCTCTTTCAAGAAGTTTTCTGGTGCTTATCTTTTCAGTTTGGTTTTATAGATATTTGAGAACAATGAGAACAGTTTTCTCATTTTGTTCATTCAATTTCTTACAGTAATTGTGGATCCTCTAAATCCAATGATCACTTGTACTACTGACAGAATCCTGAATAATTTGAAGAAAAATTAGTAGAGCTAAAGCTTTCAAGAGAAGAGTAAGGGCCACCATTAAGGAGCATAACTCACTCCTTCCTCTGTTCTATCTTCTTTTTTAAAAAAATATTTTTTTAATTTTTTAGTTGTAGTTGGACACAATAACTTTATTTTATTTATTTATATGTGGTGCTAAGGATTGAACCCAGGGCCTCGAACATGCTAGGTGCATGCTCTACAGCAGAGCCACAACCCCAGCCCACTGTTCTTTTGAAAAACATATAATCGTGAAATTTTTGCTTTTAGTGGCTAAGACCTTTTCACATTCTGTTAGATATGTGGTTTGCAAGGTTTTTTAAAACTACCTTCAGCTTGTCTATTTCCAGAGCAATTATAAATTTTGATGAAGTCAAATTTATTGATTTTCTTTTACTATCATGTCTAGCAATTCTTCACCAAGTCTTAGTTCCTGAAGATTTTCCCTTACCTTATCTTTTCATTTTGCATTACTATTTTAAATGAATTTGTTTCATAGATATAGTATTCTATGAGAAGTACCACATATTTTCTATTACATTCAAATTAGGATAAACATATCTATTTCCTTAAATGTTTATCATTTTTCACATGAAAACATTCAAAATCATTTCTTCTAGCTGTGTGAAATATACCTTATGGGTATGTATAGTCACCTGCTGTGCAATAGCACAAAGAATTTCTTATTCCTACTTTAAATAATCTGAGTTTTAATGTGAGATTAAGGACAAGACTTTTTTCTTAACTCAGGGATGCTCAACTGCTCCAGTACTATTTGTTCAAAAGCTGTTCTGTGTCTACTGGATTGCTTTAGAACATTTGTCAAAAAAGTTTGGCATATTCACATGATTGTATTTTTGTTTTTTTAAATTTTCTTTGGTTGGTTTGTGTCTATTCCTTTGCCAAACCACACACTCTTGATTAGTGTACCTATATAATAAACCTTGAAATCAGGTAATTTCTACTACTTCATTATTCTTTAAATTTTTAAGCTATTCTAGAAACTTTGCCTTTCCATGGAAATTCTCTTGAAGAATTGCTAGTCATGACAGCAAAAGCATGATGCATGAAAGAAAAATATAAACCTGACTTTATTAAAATTAGAAACTAGTTCTGGGAATAGATAAGCTATAGAGATAGCAAACAAACTCAACATAGCAAACTAGAATCTTGGTGTGGTGTTGGTAGAAATTTTGTTAAATCTGTATGTCCACTTGGGAGACAATTAGCATCTTTATCATATTGAATGAACCCATTCATTCTCTCAGTATAGCTCCTCATTTATTTGGATCTTTAATTTCATTAGTGTTTTGTAGTTTTTATTTACAAGCACTGTACATTTTATTATATTTACACCTAAGTATTTTTTTGAAATTGAAAATTGTATTTTACATTTTGGTTACTACATAATTATTATTAGTTTACTAGATATGGAAATATAATTTATTTTTATATATTGATCTTATATCTTGACTTTATTGAACTCATTAATTCTAGGAGTCTTGTTTGTTTTAGATATAGTTTTGCTTCTTGTTTTATTTCTTTTTATTGCCTTGCATATACTTGCTAGAAATTTCTGTATCATGTTTAATAAGAAAGGTGAAGAATTGCTAGACATGACATCCTTTCCTTATTCCTGATCTTAGAGGGAAGTGTTGTCTTCTTCCTTAAGTGCAAGATTAGTTGTAGGCTTTCTGAAGATGTTATTGTCAAATGCCCTGTACATTCCTAGTTTTTAAAATTTTAAATGAACTCTGTTGAATTTTGTCAAATGCTTTTTCTACATCAAGTTTTAAGATCATGTGATATTCCTTTAGCTGTTAATATGGTGGCTTATATTGATAAATTTCTGAATACTGAACCAACCTTGACTGTGTATCTTCTGATCAATATCCCATAGCCAAAAAAACTGAAGCAGAAATTTAGCAAATTATATTCATTTTCTATTGTTGTAGTCACAAAATACCACAAACTTCAGGGCTTTAAACAGAAAACAATTAGATTCTCTTACAGTTCTGGATGTTTAAAATCAATTTCACTTGGTTAAAAGTCAAAATGTCGACAAGGCTGATTTCTTCCAGAGGTGCTAGGGGAGAATCTGTGTTCTTGCCTTTACCAATCTCCAGGGGTCACTTACCTGCTCTGATTTATAGTCCTCTTCCTCCATATTTAAAGCCAGTAGTATAGCATCTGTCCCTCTATTTTTTTAAATAACATGGCTCTAACTCTGATAGCTCCTATCTTCCTTGTATAAGAACTTCTGTGGTCACATTAGCTCCATGTGAATAATCCAAGATACTCTTCCCACTCAAAATTCTTATTCATATTTGTGAATTTCCTTCTGCCACATAAGAAAGCAAATTTATAGGTTCCAGGGATCAAGAGGTGATCATCTTGAGGGAACCTTTTTTTAGCCCACCACATGTAATTTTTGTTGCTTTTCTCTTTTGGTTTTGGTATTAAAGTAATACTCGGCAGGCAGTCTCATTCTTATTTTTGTAATAAGATTCTGCACTGAGGGAATATTACACTTTAAATTTTTAAATTTTGTTTACTGTTGCTTTCCTGTGAGATGGTAAGATTGTGGGGAGTGCTTAATCTGTTAATAGCCAAGTATACTGCATCTGTTAGCATTGGTATAGGGTCATTACATAACAAACACAAGCTTTGCCATCTGTAAAATACACTTCACTGGACCTCAAAAGTATGAATTTAATGGCCATTGTTCTTTTCTTTTCTTGATTTTACATAATGAGTATGAGCTGATATTTTTAAAAAATTGTAGTAAAACAGTACATATGGTACCGAAATTCTTTTCTGAGTATGTGATTGTAATTTGTAGTGTGTGAGCAAGTAGTGCAAAATGATGAGAAAATCAAATACAGTTTCTGCTACAACTACTCACTACTCAAATATTCTGGTGTGAAAGCACCCATAAATTATGTGCAAATGAATGATCATCACTGTGTTCCAATAAAACTTTTATTGATAGAAATTAAAAACTTGAATTTGATATAATTTTCACATGCTACAAAATATTCTTCTTCTGATTTTTTTAACTACTTAATACTGTAAAAATCATTCTTAACTTGTGGGCCATATAAAAATAGTGGCAGGCCAGACTTGGCTGTGGGCCATAATTTACCAACCCCTGCCTTAATCTCAAGGAACTTACAATCTAAATAGGGGAAAGAGAGAGAAAACAAAACAAAAACAAAACAACAACAAGGAATAAGTGAAGGAGTAAATAAAACAGATAATTTTGTGTTATAAGGAAATTAAAGAGTAAGTAGTTCAGAGAATGTGTCTGTAGGGAAATAGGTTAGGTGAACTTCAGTGATGAGAAGGAGCCAGTCCTAAGGAAAATTAACACAGAGGACTCTAGACAGAGAAAGACTACCAAGGGCAAGAATACTATGGGCAAATGAGCGGGGTTAGTAAATTAGAGGAACCAAAAAGTGTGTGTCAGGAACATAGTGAAGAGATAGAACAAGGTAGGAACATTCAGGAATTGAAATAAATATATCATCAAAAATGTAATTTTAGTTGACCACAGTAGGAGTTCTGTTAGGTGTAGCCTAATTGCATGCACTGGATTTGTGGTCCCTTGTCAATTTGTTTGACCACACAAAGTATTATGAATTTGGGAGAGAGAAAGGATGGGGTGGGGAGTGGAGTGAGAAGGAGAAGGCAGAAGGGAAGGGGGAGAAGGACGGAATTTTATTTTTGTTCTAGAAAAACATAGTAACATGTATATTAATCCAGTATATCAATGAGAATATACAATTGAACCACACAATTTATTTCATTAAGTTCTCATCCTTAAGATATGCTTTATTTCATACTTGCCTTTAGTACAGATATGCTGCTCACTGGACACCTTAGTACAGATATGCTGCTCACTGGACACTTTAACTGCTATAAATAGCAGTTTTCTGCAAAATGTCTACTTTCTTTATAAACTTTAGTACATTAAATCCCTAGTTTACCCCCTTTTCATTATATGCTCAGTCCAATTTCTGTATGCCAAGCTTCTTCTAGTTTCTTTTAAAAGCACTGGAAGGAAAATAATTTTTAAGTTTGCATTGATTTGTGGCAATATTTGTATTCAACAATCAAATGCTACACTATTTCCTCTTAAATGGCTGTGCCCTTAATTAGTGTCACTTGTTCAGCAATTAATTAGTTTCAGAGACTTCTTATTTTGGTAATAAACCTAACTATTGATAGTTGGAACAAATACTGTATCAGGTTTATAATGCATGTTTTCCAATTATATCATATAAAAATTTTCACAATGAAAAAAGTTCTCCATTTGTAATGTCATCAAATATCTTTCATAATTGTGAAATAGACTTCAACTAGTTTCTTGTTCTCATTTATTTTCTCCAGCACTGCTTCTAGTAAATATGAGGCAAAAGGAAGCTGTAAGAGAAACACACACAAAAAAAGATTATTAAAAACTCTATTTTTTCTTCATTCAAAAACATACATTATAAGCATCAAACCAATAGAATTTAGCTGTCTGTAACTTTGCATAGTGAGGCCCTACTGGATCTCTTTTCAACAGATCTTTCTGGTTAGTATGGGTAATTTTGTCTTTTCTAATAAAAATGATAAAAGAGCAGAAGTAAAATGAAAAAAGATAAACGCCTTATTGAACAATTCATGGTTTACTGACCATGTTAATGATGTAATCTGCAATACAAGCAGCTAAGCCATTTATCTTCAATCAGCTGATCAATATCACGTTACAGTCATCTCTAGGGCACACAGGCCCACAGAAGTAGTACTGTATGTTCATCACTCATAAAAGAACGAGAGAGAACTATCAATACACTTGTCTGCGTGAGAGCTGAACATCTCAAGAGTTGCGGGGTAAAACTTCAGAGGGGAAAAAATGGCAAAAGTATACCCATTGATTAAGTTGTTAAAGTTTGTTTGGTATATTAAAGTGTAATACACATGTTTCAAAAACTGCTGAGTTTATAAAATGTGAGTACATTTAAAAATTTCATAATTGATATAACTTTGCTAGTAGTTTTATTGTTCCCTCTGCTTCACTGGTTTGCCAGGAGGACTCAGACTCATGATTCAGTTATGGGCTAAATGTAAAAGAAAGTATGAAATGTTTCCCCAAATTCTTCCAGTCGACCTACCAACTTCCTTTTATACATAGTCCCAGAGATCCAGTGTCATATAACAATTCAATCCTAAATAAGGAGTTCATTAAATGTTTCATGAAATTGTCTTCTATTTTTCTTTCCTTCAGTACTAGGGGCGTTCTACAATTGAGCTATACCCAAGGCCCTTTAAATATTTTATCATGAGACAGGGTCTCACTAAGTTGTGCAGGCTGGCCTTGACCTTGAGATCCTCCTGCCTCAGCCTTCCCAGTAGGTAGGATTAGAGGTGTGAATCATCATACCCAGCTGGACTTGTCTTTTTGATTCACCAAGGAAAGACTGCTTTTGTTTCTCTGAATATATTAATAAAAATAGTTATTATGCCTAGCCCCCTTTCTTACAGGGAAGGAGTATCAGCAAGGAAGAACACTCATGAACTCATTAGCCAGTGCCCGATATTAATGTCCTCTGTATGGGTTGTTCTGCTGAGGTGATTATAATTAGTTAAATAAATCAGAATGGTTCTTTTCTGAATTTGAATTGATGAAGAGAGAAAATATTGGACATGGCAGTAACACTACAGGGCAGACACGCAAGAACAAGCAGATCATGTAGGTGGAGAAGAACTAGAGACCGAAAATGGTCCATAGAACTGCCTGGGTCCAAATTGCTCTCTAGCTTAGGTTCCTCCTTATCTTTATAATAATCAGCCTTCTCCTTATGGGAGTTTGAGTCTGTGTCTGTTCCCCTGCAACACAAGAGCTTCACACATTTGTACTACTTGAAACTCAGCACTGAAGAAAGTACATCAAAATAGAATATTGCTTCAGTTCCTAGATACAGCTGAACATAAGGCAGGCATGTTGACTTAAAAAACAGCTTTTCTAGGGGAAAATCCTACCACATTGAGCACATGTATACTGCAGATGCATTCCAATTTTAGAAACATAAGAAAGTGGGAAAAGTGCACTTTAGAATTAAGAAAAAATAATATGTTTTATTTTCTTTTGGAAGATAATGATACCAATAAATTCATATTTTGATAAATTGTCTTTCTGGGATATGAAAATAAAGTTGGTAAAGTTGCCAGTTTTACAAATAAGATAGTTTAGATTTTCAGGTCAATGATGTTAAAGGTATGCACAATAAAATGACAGGACAAGACTATTGGGGAATTTTCTTTTATTTAAACTATGCCACTCAGTATTCATATACATTCCTATCTAAAAGGATGATGAGAATAAACTTTTATCCCTTGCTGATACAAACAAAACCAGAAATGAATGTGTAAAAATTCATTTTCTAAAGTTGTTTAAAAAAGAAAAAGTTCTGGGGATTGGGGTTGTAGCTCAATGGTAGAGTGCTTACCTAGCATACATGAGGCCCTGTATTCAATCCTCAGCACCACATACAACTGAAATAAAGATATTGTGTCCACCTACAACTAAAAAATAAATATTAAAAAAGAAAAAGTTCTCCTATCAAATAAATGTAAGAAACATTCCAAGACCTCTTAGGATATTTTTTATTTTTTCCCTTTGTGGTGCTTGGGATTGAACTCAGGGTGTCATGAATGCTAGGCAAACACTGAGCTGCATCCCCAAGTCTTTAAGACACTTATAGGCACTATGTTTCTTCAAGAGGTCAACATAATATCCTATTTTAAAATTCATTTGTCCACTCATTCTCATGCTCTATTTATATAATGTTTAACTACTGGCTCATTGAGCATGCTCCAGGAACATGCTGGTTATATAACTTTCTAGGTAATAATGCCATAGTACTTACACAAGGCCACTGGGTATTGACATTAGTCATGTTATTTGTATATTTCATTTTTGAGTAAATACCTAACTTACTCTTATTATCCTGTGATCTGAACAACATGAACATATATTATGTACTTGAATACTTTGTTTCCCTTTAAAAAACTTTTCTCAAAGAAATTCCCTTTCAGTAAGCCTCCAATGTGGAACAAGAAGTCTACTTACTTACTGACAGACAACAAGCTCTTTTATTCCTTTCCCTCTGGCTCCCAATAAAACTAAAAAGTCAAAGTTAAACACAACTGTTTGTCAATCCTGTTTTACTGGATTTTAAGTTTCTTTAAGCTTTGTACAGAGCCTAACATATTATGTTTTAAAAAGCAGTCAAAGGCTGGGATTGTAGCTCAGTGGCAGAGTGCTTGCCTTGCATGTATGAGGCACTGGGTTTGATTCTCAGCACTGCATATAAACAAATAAAATATTGTGTCCATCTACAACTAAAATTTTTTTTTTAAAAAAGCAGTCAATCCTTTAAATCAAGATATATACAGTAAGTGCATATCTATTTTCCTTTGAAGGTTCTTCTATTTTTACCTAGACATAGTTCAGGGAAATATTATTTGCCCTTATATAATGTTAGATGTTCCTGTATCTACAAATTAGTTTGAGATGCTTATTTATTTTAATTCAGTTTTTCTATTTTTCTTTTTTATAAATCAATTCTGACAATTTTTTTCCTCTAAATCAGTGTTCATTCTAATTGCTGTTTATAAACTTGGAGTTTACTGACAACTGTACACCCAGCTTTCAAAGCAGTCTTTCAAAAGTTATTCTTTAAAAATATATAAGGCTTAATCTCCATTAATCTAATTTTGTAAGGAAATAATATAACTTTATCAAAGAATAAATAGTTAATTGAAATAAACAGAGGGAAACTCAGAATTATAAGACATTTCATAAAATCCAGAATTGTAGAACATTTCATAAAAATGTAAGTTGTTTTCAAATGAATACAAGCTAATGTCAACTAAAAATTTTTACATAGATTCCTCTCCTACTACAGTTCTTATTTATGACTTACTATGCACCAATAGATTTAGTTTTAAAAATAGCCTTTCTGACCAAGTTTAGACCAAGTTTATGTTATAAAACTATTTACATTTTTTTTCATAATTTATACACATAAAATTTTCTACTTAGTCTAGGATATGTTGATAACATTTCTAATAAGAATGGTTAAGATGTGAATTTGGTGTCAACATACCTTACATATAATGAGAGATATGATAAATTGTGGTATAAAGGTTTATTAAGAATTGTAAAGCAATAATAATAATTTTAAGAATTGTAATGCAATAATAATAATAATAATAATAATAATAGAATTAAATTGAATTAAAAAAGAATGGTTAAGAATGTGCTTTCAAGTTAATTGGATATTTTTCTAATTGAGTTACCACTTAGATAACATACAGACTACCATTAATTTTTAAATATTATAAATTACTGTTAACATGGATGCTAAATAAACATAATTTAATCTTCAGTGATTCTAAAAACAATCTTATGATTCTGCATAAACATCAATTCTCAGCACACATCTCTAGATTGGTTGGAATTAGGCCTAAAACTCTATTTAAAATATCACACACCTTGGAATGTGCTTTAAAAATTCACATTGTTTGCTTATTTGTTTGTGACTTTTTTAAAGTAGATTTAAAAAAAAATTTTTTTTTAGTTGTAGATGGACACAATGCCTTTATTTTATTTATTTTTGTGGTGCTGAGATGGAACCTAGTGAGTCACACATGCTAGGCAAGTGCTCTAGTACTGAGCTATAGCCCCAGCCCTAAATGTAAAACGTTTTTAAGACTAGGAGACCTGAAACCTATGCTACTGTAGAGTCCAGATTAAGTATAAGTTTATTTCATATAGACAGTCTACATGCATTCTGGCAGGGGCTAAACCTCACTCAGAAATCCTTCAGACATAAAAGCACAACTGCCCTTTTAGTACTAGAATTTTAGAGTTGGATTTAAGTGGCAACTTGACTGGCCAACACTAAAGACTGTTTCTCACTCACCCTTATGAAATACACCTAAAACAACAACTATCTGCCTTGGTTTTCACCATACATGGCATGTGTCAGAGATTACAAAATACAGACATCCTGCATGATCTCCTTATCTTGGTTTAAAAGGGAAAAAAACGATACTCCTGGTCACATTAATGCAGTTATACAACCTTCACCTTTCTGGCTCTAGGGAAAATGGACAAGTGGTAAAGCATCCCTGGGTTCAATCCCCAGGACCAAAAAAAAAAAAAAAAGATGTGACACGAAATGAGATTTCTTTGTTTGAAAATTTAACTGGGACATTTGAACAATCAAACATTTTGCTTCGTTCATACATAATATTAAAGTATGTCATTGATGTCACACATATATTCAGCTTCTCTCTTATTTTTTTTATTAGTTGCTCAAGACAATACAATGATCTTGACATATCATACATTTGATTCAAATAGGGTATGA